CTACTACTGCTAATAAAAGCATCAGAGGGTGCATATCCAAACTATGTCATCCATCTAACCATGAGATCAAAAATCAAAAGGCCCAAGTACTCCTAACGTTGAGCGTCTAATCCGACTAATGAGCAACGAATTTCTTCATACCCCTTCATCACCCTACGCACGCGACACACACCACCTCTCACTTATTGCCTTCAGCCACCATTTATGTGCTTGTCGCTACTTGATCGCTCCTCCTATCTCCCGCCACCCCATGCATGCCATCTCCATACACCTCAAACGGCCCACCACTCCTTACATGATGGTGGCCATCGACCCATGCACGCCTGCCGCACCAGGCCTTCCCATGTGCCTGGGCTATTGCCGGAGCGCAATGGCGCCACCAATGTTGTCTTGCTAATCTCCATGCACTCCGCATTGTGTGTTTCACTACCGTCGGTTAGTACAGGGAGGCATGTAGAAAGAAAGCGGCGGAGGGAGGAACGTGTTGCCGCCAGCCACCGCAAGCCCTTCTCTCGCTTCCACCAGCGCGCTCTTTTCACCTACACCGGATCCCGAAGTTATCCCGTTCACTTCCCCACGGACTTCTCCTAGCGGAGGGTACTTGAGTTCCTCATCTCAGATCCGCCTCCTCAACAATCGGAAGGTATTGATGCAAATTTCTAGTAAGCTCTACATGCAAATTTCACTCTATATAGCTTACCTGACGCTTTACAAATCTGACTACTTTTCTGCATTACACTACAGGATGGCAGATATATGATATGTATTTGACTACTTCCATTAAATATATGATATGCAATATACTATTTTGTTGGTCTGACAACGTTTTACTATGTTATGCCAGAATTCCACATAGTTCATTCAGCTTTTCTTTACATTATATTACCTTGCTTCTTGATTGCTTTTTGGTTTCTTTCAGAGATTAACCAGTAATTAAAGATGAAAGCATTATAGCACCGGCTCCAGAATAGAAGTAGCTTCTACATGTTGTACTTATGTTTCCTGGATTAAATAAAATGGTTGTCCTGGTCACAACTCACAACTGATGTGAAACCATGAGTATAACACCTGCACTCATAACGTGGTAGATCTGATGGTTTACTGAGTAGAGGAAGAATTTTTTTTTTTGCGAGAAAACTTTCAATTTATTCATCTTCTATCATGGCAGTACAACGAACACTAGAAATAATAAAAATTACATCCAGATCCGTAGACCATCTAGTGACGACTACAATCACTGAAGCGAGCCGAAGGCACGCCGCCGTCATCACCCCTCCATTGCCGGAGTCGGGCACAACTTGTTGTAGTAGACAGTCGGGAAGTCGTCGTGCTAAGGCCCCGTAGGACCAGCGCACCAGAATAGCAACCATCGCTGATGAAGAATAACGTAGATTAAAAGGATCCAACTTGAAGACACACGAACATAGACGAACCATAACCAGATCCGAGCAAATCCACCGAGGATAGATCCGCCGGAGACACACCTCCACACGCCCACCAAGGATACTAGACGCACCACCGAAACGGGGACTAGACAGGGAGACCTTTATTCCATCTTCAGAGAGCCGCCGCCGTCTCGTCTTCCTGAGTAGGACACAAACCCTAACAAATCTTGAAGGAACGACTAACAACGGAGCCCTCCCGCCGGCCCTTGCCAGGATCAACCGCGCCCCCATGGGCCTAGGGCCACCGGAGACGAGGCGGACCTGCAGCAGAGCCGGCGAGAAGCACGAGCCCTAGCTTTTCTTGGAGGAGGAGGCGGCGGCTGGAAAGAGTTCCTTTTGGTTAAGTGGAGACTGACTTGCGATCCTTGTGTATGCTGAAAGAACAAAGCTAATATTCTTGAACTATCTCACTTAATTGATGCTCGTTTGCTGGGTTTCTAACATGAAGGTACCATACCATGCATAGCACCTTTCTCCAAATAATGTTTGAGTTATGTGTATGCTCTGTTTCCTCTACAGCTACATCAGGTGGCTTACAGTAAAGATACTTCTAGTGAGCGTAACAAGGTAATTAGGGCACGCCTCCTACATCTATTT